ATCAGGGACAGCGTCTGCCCAGAGATCCAAGGGCGCCTTGGCGAGAGCTGCAGGCGGGGAATGCAATCGCCGGCGGCAGAATGGAAAGATCGAGTCATGGCCTCCTCGAGGTCAGTAGTGGTCACCAGGTCGCCCCTCGCGGTTTCCAAGAGCATCGCCGCGTCGAACGCCTGTGCGAATCTATCGCCTGTCGGGCCCTTCAGTGTTTTGACGTCAAGCTGACGAGGGCGCCGTTTCTTGGGCTCCCGGGGGACGTCGATCTCCAGATCTGCCAACACGAGAAAATGATGCGAAGCCAGGGCTCGCGAGCGGTCATTGTGAACATGGCGAAGCTGATGCATCCAAGCGGCGGGCATGAGGACAAAATCAATCTGGCCAAAGTTGCCGGGCACGGGAGGGTCAGACGGCTGACAGCCCGTAGCAAGTTATCTGTCTATCTGCGGGGGCATCGAAGTACGTGTTGCCAACGGCGAGTTTCAAATTCACACACATCTCGATCAAGAGGCTGCGGTTTGATGCAGGTCGTGCTCAGCCCGGGGGCAGCCGAAGATTTCAGGGCCCAGGACGATCTCTTCCTGTGGGAAACGACGATGTAGCCGGGCGTTGAAATCGCCGAGAACCATGACCGGCCCGTGCCCTGAGATTTTGCGCACAAATTCCCCAAGATCAGAATAATTATTGCTGCCGGTCTTCGAAGCACTTCCGCTGAGCGGGGCGTAAGCGCTACAGACCACAGCCTTGCCCCCACGCACCCGCATCTTCAGATAAGCCATGTAAGCATTTTCGTGGCGGAAGCCCACTATGCTCGAACGGAGCCTCGGGGAGACGATGAAGCCCACGCCGGCCGTTTTCTTGTCGTCTGGGTTTGGGGAGCCGGACAGAATGACCAAATATCCCGTCTCTCTTACGTGATTTTCCGAAGCTGGTTCACGCGTCTCTTGGATGCACAGCACATCAATGTCCAAGGACACCATGTGCCACTCCACCTCCGTGAGTTTTGCCTCCGTGAGCCCCTCCACATTCCACGTCCCGACGCGGAGCTGCCGGTCGCAGGGTCGGAGGCGTCCGCCGCGAAACTCCTCTGCACATTGTGCTCGGGATAACGGCACTGCTTCTGTAGTAGGACCGACTGCAGGTGAAACCATATCGTCAATGCAATTCGAGAGTAAGCAGAATCGTTAATAGTAGGTGTAGGGGCGCCACCTCCTCCAGGGGGTGAAACTATGGGTGAAACTCTGCTCATGTGCTGTGTTTGCTAGGCGCGGTGGCCCTTGGCGCCCCCCTTGGACGCCGTGCCTCCGCCCTTGGTGCCTTTCAGGCCCTTCGCCGCCTTCGCCAGCAGCTCCGTCGGTTTCACGGCCAACTCCTTGATCATATGGTGATCGTGGAGCTCAGTCCACGTCTTCCACTCCCCCTGCCAATCGTATTGAACCGTGTTGCCCACCACTGTCGCCGTCAGCGCGTGCTCGCCCCCGACCTTGACGATGTGCGGCGACTCGTCACTGACAGAGACCGCGTACGGCGCTTCCATTCCTCCTTCAGCACGCGCTTCAGGCCGAGGCAGAAGTTTCGCGCCGCCCTCTCAGGTAGCGAGCGGTCCTGCGACGCCCACACTTTCTTGCCCTTGTTAGCGAGGCCAGCGCTCCGGAGCAAATCCACGGCACGATCACGAAGTGCAGGCGACCGAAATTCTGCGAACGCGATGCCCTTGAAGCCGGCTTTGGCGTACACCCTCACCGGAGCCGGGCCGTTGAGGTATGCGAGCTTATCCCGCAACCACGCGGTGGCCTTCGTCAGGTCCTCGAGCCCGTGCAAGTTGCCAATGACCATGTTCACGGCCCTCTAGTCCATCGGGTCCGTGGCCCGGTACGTGTTGTTCCCATTGTGCTGCGAACCCTCGTTCGTCGAGTGGGCCTCGATGCACTCGTAGATCTTGGTCTCCATAGCGTCGATTTTCTGCGGGGCGGATTCTTCCAGAGTCTTGCATGGGGATTCGAGCTTGTCGACACGAACGTCTGTCAAGTTCAAACGCTGTTCCATGGTGTCCAAGCGCTCCGAGAGGGCCTCCCGCATCTCCACGACGGAGTGGTCTATCGGCGATACAGTGAGATCCTCCGACCCCATCTACTCGGACTCCATCCAGGAGGCCTCTAGTCATGGTGACCTTCTCCACAGAAACCTCGGTGCCCCCGAACTCCAGCCTGCGATTCGTCCCCGTCGTCTCAACCCCGTCCATCTCGTTCAGGGGGCTGTGGATGCGGTGAGCTTTGACTCCGCGGCCCTTGGGGGTTTCTTGGAACGGGTTCGAGAGAAGGTTGCCGACCAGGGTGCCCGGGCGCCTCGTGTTGCTGGACGCCGCAGCCTCCGATGCGACAGGGACTACGGAGTCAGGGATGTACTTCGCAAGCTCGCTCTCCAGATCCAAGCCGGCCATGATGGAACAAGCAAGACAGAGCAGCAGTATTCAGTAGCCGAATTGATATGTTGGCTCCTGAGTGGCAGTCGAACTTGAGCCAAAATGGCTTGAGCCATTTTGGCTTAGAAGGAGGAGGAGGAGGAGGAGCTGGAGGAGGAGGAGGAGGAGGAGGAGGAGGAGGAGGAGGAGTGTAGGAGGAGGAGGAGTGGAGGGGGAGGAGGAGGAGGACGAGGACGAGAACGAGGAGGAGTAGGAGGAGAAGGAGGTGGTCGGGTGTCTCATCCACGGGTGTCCAACCACGCCCCAAAATGTCAGGAAGCTTCGGCCGCCTCCTCCTTCCCGCCTCGCACCTGTGCTCCTCGCTTTTTGCTTCTTCCTCTCAAAACATCGGCTCCTCCCTCAAAATCGGCTTTTCGTTCCTCGCTGTTCTTCTCCTCCCTCAGAATAGACTCCTCCCTCAAAATCGTTTTTTCGCTCCTCTCTTCTTGCTCCTTCCTCAAAAATGGTCAGTCACGCTAAGCGTGCACACTACATTGTCGCTATGTTATGGCACGCGCTCGCGCTCTCCACTCGCACAGGTGCCGGCGACCAAGAAGGTAGCATGGACCAGAAGTTTGATTGCGTTGGTTGTTGGATTCCGCAGTTCCACGTTTGTTTCTTGGATGGTGACAACGTGCCAATCGAGACATCCACCAACACAACGCGTCGCGAACTCCCACGGACTGTCAACAAGGCTCTACTGATGCACTTTGTTATGTCGCAGACACGTTTTGCATCAACGCAGCAGGTGTCCAATCTATCACGTCGTCAAAGAGCAAGTACATGGAGGGAGTGCCCAGCGCAGAGGCCTGCCATGATGCTATCAGGGGTACTGGGTGTTCCACAGCCTTCACATGGCGAGCAAGCGGTGGACGCTTTTGAGGGAAAGGAGATTTGGTACCCGATAGTAACAGAGAAAGGAATGACATCAGGCAACATTGGGGCATCCGATTGTGTGGCTTCAGCTTCGGCGACGCCCTTCCCGAAGCCCTACCCGACGCCGCACTTGACATCCAACCCGACGCCCTATCCGACGCCCTATCCGTCGCCGAACCCGACGCCGAACCCGATTTCGAACCCGTCGCCGAACCCGTCGCCGAACCCGACGCCGAACCCGACGCCGATCCCGACGTACCCGACTGATTTTTCCGCGCCGTACCCGACTGATTTTCCCGACGCTCTACCCGACAGCCTTCCCAATTACCTAGTCCCTTCGACCCCCACGGCGACGCCAGAGACAGAGTGGGCCCGGGGCCCGTCCTTCCCTCGACCTCGACACTTGTGTAGTCCAAAACCCGGACAGCTTGGCGCCCGAAGGGCGTGGAAAGGCTTGGTGACGCCCTCTGGAAGGACCAAGAGAGAGGTTCCGAAGGACCTTCTGGAGAGCTTCCAGGCACGCGTATTGGGAAACGCTTAGTAAAGGGCCTGCGGGAACACGCTGCAAGTTCAATGAAGGCGATCCGGGGAGCCTGGACCGCCGCCGAAACTCGGTATGCGAGCTGAAGCCGGTGCCTTACAGACGCCTTCCGTACCCCCCCAATCCCCATCTCCCGCCCCCTGGTCCCCCCTGCTCCTCCCGCGGGCTCTGGCCGAAGGCGTTCACCCGAGCTCAGCAGGCAGCGGAAGCTACAGGTAGCTCATGATTCATGATAGCACCTTGTGATGGCGTACACTCCACTCCACTCCTCCTCCTCCTCCTCCTCCTCTTCCTCCTCCTCCATCCTCCTCCGCCTCCTCTTCCTCCTCCTCCTCCTCTCCTCCTCTCCTCCTCCTCCTCCTCCTCCTCCTCCTCCCTCCTCCTCTCTCTCCTCCTCCTCTTCCTCCTCCTCCTTCCTCCTCCTCTCCTCCCTCCTCCTCCTCTCCTCCTCCTCTTCCTCCTCTCTCCCTCCCCTTCCTCCTCCTTATCCTCTTCCTCCTCCTCCTCCTCTCCCCTCCTCTCCTCCTCCTCCCTCCTCCTCCTCCTCCTCCTCTCCATCCTCCTCCTCCTCTTCCTCCTCTTCCTCCTCCTCCTCCTCCTCCTCCTCTCCCTCCTTCTCCTCGTCCTTCTCTCATCCTCCTCTTCCCCCTCCTCTCCCTCCTTCTCCTCCTCTCTTCTCCTCCTCCTCCTCTTCGTCCTCCTATCCCTCCTTCTCTTCCTCCTTCTCCCTCCCTCCTCCTCCTCCTCTCCTCCTCTTCGTCCTCCTATCCTCCTTCTCTTCCTCCTCCTCCTCCTCTTCCTCCTCCTCCTCTCCTCCTCCTCCTCCTCCTCCTCCTCCTCCTCCTCCTCCTCCTCCTCCTCCTCCCCCAGGGTCCGGGGCACCGACGGGGGGGGGATACGGCGCAGGGGGGAAGCACCGGCCCTCCTGCCCATGCGTCGCCGATGGGGGCCTCGGTGTGCCCCCTTCTCCCGCCCAGGAGCGCGCGGTTTCGCCCTCGGGGGCCCTTCGGCCGACCTATCGGCGGTGCCGCGCCGGTTGCGGGTCAGTGTCCCCCCCCCCGCCCCCGGAGCCAGTCCCCTCCTTCTGGCCCCCCCTCGACGGGGACGCTGCGGGAGACGCGGGCGCAGGCGGACCTGCGCATCGAGGGGCGCATATTGGGCTTCGACGAGCGCCCTGGGAGAGGAGCCATGTCTTCCTGCCGCCCCCTGAGATCCAGGCTGTGCGGTTGCTGCCACGCTGGGCGTCCTCGCCTTGGTTCTAGGCTCCAGGCGATGGGCTCATTTTCCACCACCACTACCATAGGTAGAAGAGGGAGGAGGAGGAGGATGAGGAGGAGGAGGAGGAGGAGGAGGAGGAGGAAGAGGAGGACCTCCTCACCCTCCCTTCTCCCCCGTCCCCCCGTCCTACGTATGGTAGTGGTGGTGGAAAAGTTGCCCATCACCCGGGGCCTGGAGCCGAGGATAGGCACAGGGGGTCGGCAAAGCATGTGGGGGGCAGGGGTGGTCCATCTCTTCGGTGAGGCTCCCCAGCGGATATGTGCACACCTCGGTCGTTGAAAGTAGGTATTTTGGGATTCCCAGATGTCAAGCTACTGTACTTCAAGCGCCTTCCTACTTCAATGATCAAGTGGCTTCATCTTTTTCGTCCTTTTTTGGGGGCAGGCGGACACCCAATCTACTTTCAACGCCTTCTTACTTCATGTTTCTACCTACTTCATCCGACCGATCGGTACGTGGAATACCCCCCCCTGGGCTGTTCGCTCCTCTCGCCGCCTCCAAGGGACCCTCACGGATCGATCTGGCTCGAGGAGTGCCGCAGACAGGTGGTGTTTAGGGCCTGTGTCGTGATTTGGTTCACGATGCTGCAATGTTCGCGACGTCGGATCTCGGGGTCGTCGGCTTGACGACGTCGTCATCGTCGTCGTCGTCGTCCCTTCCCCTCCTTTCCCTTCTCCCTTTTCCCTTTTCATTTGTTTTTTTCTGGCACGCAGTTTGCAATCTTGGGTTCAGGAGCGCAGCGCTCGGCCCCACATGGAGCGAACGCTTTGCCGGTGGGAATCGTGGGGCAATCTGCAGTGGCTGGAAGCTGACCCCCTCCAGGAGTTTTTGCTTCTCGTGCCGCGGGTCACCGCGTGGACGGTAAAAATGAATCGGATTTGAGGAACAAGGTGCAATAGACAAGTGACAACAGTCCAGCAGCACATTTCACAGCCTCGCGCCCTCGGGGGGCCGACAGGTTTTAAGAAGGCAATCTCGGACGGCGAGTTAGCCGCTAGGAGAAGGCCTTCTCAGAAGGCTCGGAAGTCCCTCAGCCGTCTGAGAAGTTTCCTGAGCCACGCCCGAAGACAAGAAGGAACCTCTCTGAAGGCGCGAGGGCCTCTGAGAAGTCCCGCCGCCTCCTGAGAAGGCCTTCTCCCTCTCACTCCCCCCCCCGCTCGCCGCCGAATGTGGATTTTGGGTCATACCTCGGGTCCCCGGCGGGCGTTCGGGACGATCCATGCACCCCTGGTACGCCCTCGGCGAGGCGCAGCCGCTGGAACGCACCCCGAGGGTGGAACACCTCTGAGAACCGACGAAAACGCCCGAAAACCTCGAGCCTCGAAGTTCGAATTTTTAAATTTGAGTCTCGAGGAGGCCTTCTCCCTCTCACTTCCCCCCCCTCGCTCGCCGCTAGGGCTTGAGCGTGGTGCAGTCAGCCGCTTTCAGGGGCCTCTGCACTCGGGAGAGAGAAGAGCAGGGGCCCCTGCGGGCTTTTGGGTGGCTTGGCTCGTCTCGCTTTGGGGGGCCTTCCTTCGCTGCGTGTCTCGACTGGTTTTTCTCGCTCGCTTGCATTGTCTCCTCGGCATCGGTGCCACAGCGCCGACGGGAGGCAAAGCATCTCTATACGGTAGTGTGTTTGCTCGAACTCGCTGAGCAAGCAAGGATACAGCCAGGGTAGCAGAGTCTTGGCCGAGCATAAGGTTGTCTTCGCCAGAGCATGTGTGTTGCCCATTCCCTGCTCCTGACCAGAGGCTGATCTCGGGGGCGACGATAGGGGCGAATAGCCAATGGGCGGGCATTACACGTATTCGCCCGGGAGCCTCGCCGAAGGCATGGACCATCGGCGCCATTGGATACATGTATTGTTCTCCCCTGGGCTATTCGCCCCCGTCGTCGCCTCCGACGATCCCGAAAATGCGGATCGGCGGCGAAATCCGAGCCCTTCAGTGGAGACCTAAGCCAAGAAACACCCTGCTTGCCTCCAGGGTTCCCTGGGTTTCTTGGGCTTCGATGGCTTTGCTATGGAACGTGCGACGTTCCCACACCAAACACATCAAAGGACGCCCTGGGGTCTCAGGGTTGGGTTTCTTGTGGAAGGTTTCTTGTGGACAGGCCTCCAGTGCACGTTCGCCGATCAACGATTCAGGCAACTCGATGGGCGGCGGGGTTGAGGGTTCGGAACCCGTCGAACACGCGGCGAGATCCGAGCCCCAACCCCCGCCTCCCAGTGACTCAGGGAAGTCGCCAGGAGGGCCGCCTGGCCTGTCCCTGATCGCCCCGTTGCCATTCCATCTCTCGGGGGCGGCAAGGAGGGGGGTCATGACTAGAGGGGTTGGATCTCATGGCGGGGGCCATCACATCTTCCCAGGTTTCATGGCGCCTCTTCTTTCATATTCCGGAAGGCCCCGGGCTCCAGCGGCTCCTGGAGTTTCCACAGCCCCCCCAGAGCTTCATGTTCAGACGGGCCAAGACGTCTGCCGGCGGGCCAAAATGGCTTCAAGAGGACCCCCAACAGGGCCCTAAGAGGCAAACATCTGCCCATTCCTATAGGAGAACGCGCGTCGTTCGCATGTCCATTCGTTGGTCTTCGTATGAACAACGACGGCCCAAGAGGCCTCCAAGATCGCTTCAAGACGGCTCAAGAGGCACCCAAGAGTGCCCAAAAACGGCCAAAGAGGGTTTCAGGACGGCCCCAGAGGCGCCCAAGAACGCCCCAAGTGGGCCCCAACACGGGCCCCAGAGAGGGCGTTCGAACTGTAAGTTCGAGCCTCCCGCCCCAAGAAGATCCCCCAAACCCTGAGGAGGCTCCCAAGAGGCGCCCAAAAGAACACATGCCCCCAGGAGGCCCCCAAGAGTCCCCAAGATCCCCAAACGACCCCCAAGCGAGCCCAAGAGAGTTCAAAAGCCCCCAAGAGGTTCCCAAATGGCCCCCAAGAGACCCCTGCAGGGTTCACAATCGCCTCCAAGAGGTTCCCTGCAGGTTCCGAGACCCCAGCAGCCACCCAAGAGGCCGTTACTCCCCAACCCAGGCGCGGGATGGGCCGAATGCCATCATCCGTGTCACCAGGAGGAGGAGAAGGAGGTGGACGCCGCAGGGTAACGGAAGCCCACAGGCTGAGGCGATGGTTGCCACCAAAGGCGGCGGCGTCGGCCGAGAACACGGAAAACCCGCCGTCATGGCCGATGTCATTAGTTAGTCAGGGTCATCAGGCTTCCCCTTCCACCGCCCGCTCCACCCGAGCCTCCACCCTCCTGGGAACAGCTACCTCCATTTGGAGGGGCTCCGAAGGCAGGTCAGGCACAGGGTCGGATGTAGGCCCTTGGTGGCCTTGGCAATCTTTCGCAACTGCTTGTCACGGGTCGAGGGGTACAGTAGATGGCCCTTCGCACGTAGCTTTCAAGGCTCGCTCGACCGCATGAGGCAGCACCAGAAACCCAGCACACTTCGCACATATTATAACCCGGCTAGTCCTCTGGGCCGAATGCCCACGCTCATTAAAGGAACGGATGGCTTCGACTCCCTCGTCACCAGACGGGTTCAGGAGGGGGAAGAGGCGGAACCATGCCAGCGTCCACAAGGGCCTTGTCTGCCTTCGCCAGAGCCTCAGCCTTCAAATGCCTAGCTCTCGTCCCGCAGGTACGGAGCCACTCCTGGCCTTTCCGGGCCGTGACCGCCGTGGGCCGACAAAATTCAGAGGGGCCACTGCACAGGTGTTTCAGCGTGCTGGTCATCCAAGCACCAACAACACACGCCACGCATGGCACTTCACCAGTGGCCTCATCCTGCACGAGGGAATGTCCGTGCAGTGTGAGCCGCGGCAGCGGTGGGTCCATGTACAGATCAGGGGGCGGCGGAGTGTCAGTCCATCTCATGAGTCTGACAACTCTGGCAGCAGCCCACGCAATGTAATCAACCGTGGCCTGGTGAAACTTGAGCTCACCTGCCACTGCCTCCGCAAATGCACGAGCGACCATGACTCGCGTCGAGGCCATCTTCGCAAAGAAGATCAGCCCACGCATTGCCAATACACGCGACAGGGTCGAGTCCTCGATCCATGACTTTCTCGAGGCTGAGGTGCGCAGGAGCCCAGGCGAAACAAACAGGAGGGGCCTCGATGGGCCGCGCCCTGACCGTCTCAAAAAACAGCACGCCAAATGGCAGCGTACCTGTTCATGCCACACGCACTCTCGGGGTCCCACGCTTGTCCTTTTTGGGCCAGCGAGAGCAAGTCAGAAACAAAAGACTGCCAGGGAAGGGTTTCGCCGAAGGGCCTGGAGCAGCGCGGTTCTCTCCGCGCGTCCTACCGTTTGGATAGCCCCCATCCAGCGATCCAAAAACAACTCGGACAGGAAGCAGCTGGGCATTCAGCTGAACTATGGCCCATCCGGCCCTCCGAACCTGCACCGCAGGGGCCTGGTCGCTTCCATCCCCGAAAATAACAGGCCCCCGCCCCCCACCGGCGCCCCCCCACTCCCACGCCACAGCGCTCTCAGGCGGGGATGGAACGTGGACAGAAAGTTTAAGGAGCCTACAGCTAAGCCCCAGGGTATCATAGTCAGGATCTAACGGGGGGCGGTGTCCAATCTCTCGCAGAGCATCCCGATGAGAGGTGCGACGCTCAGACCAAACCTCAGCACCAGACAACAACTCGCTCTCATCGGGTTGCATGGGTGCAGGGCAATCACACCACATGTGCACGAAAGATCCATCCTTCGATTCACAAGCAGAGCTGTGGGGACTCATCTGTTTCCCCCAAGCAGCTAAACGAGCAGGCGTGGGACATCGATCATCCCGCTGCCCGCGAAACGCGCCCATCGGCGCCGCCTTGAAATCACGAAGACCAAGTCGTAGAGCCCGTTCCCTTGCCGAACATCGCGGGTAGACTCATGGGCGGGTCAGTGATACGTC